ACTATTATAAATAGATCTAAGAGGATCTTATAGTGATCATCATCATCACACACACATACATACCCATACAAATTCAAAATTCAATAACAATCATTCATTGGATAGAAATCAATGCTACTGTCTTATGCGACAATTTTGAAATCGATATATTTTCGTATAGTAGATTTTGTGAAGAGTGATTCTTCCCGCGCAGCACTTCTGATCCAATGATCACCTATAAAAGCAAGAAACAAGTGTAGACACACCAGTGAGACTTCAGCTGCCACAGAAATTCACGACAGTTGAAGCTATGCGCCGATCTTCTCACTCAACATTCACAAACTGCATATTTCTTACACTTACATAATTTTTCCTCTTGCACAGCAAAACTGTTAAAAAAACATTTATTACAAACTATAAACTCTTTCTTTTCAGAGAACTTTGATAGACAATGATAGTCAAAAAGAGACAACTCTCGTCTTAATCATTGCATGCTTTTTCTTACACATTCTTTACATTGTTGAATACAATTTTTATATATAGTGATGCCTTTGCCTTGTCCTTTCTTCACATCAGTTTGGTTTCCTAATCAAAATTAAATAAATGTGGTGGAAGTCCGCCACGATCTTATAATCAGATAAGGCGAAACACGTCACCGCGATCTTTGCCTCTAGATCAACTTCCACCGTCTCACTGAGCATGATCTCGGTAATATTTTTATCGCAGTCCGAGAAGTTTCAAAACTTATCAAAAGTCTTGACTCACAGCTTTATTGAGTAATACCGACCTTACGGTCGTGCGGCTTTCTTTTTCCGCCTCAGTTGGGACTGGTGTGCCATCTCGATAGGGTTGATCCGAGTTTCCCAAAATCTTACGATATTTGGATTGACAAAATCTGGTGTGAATGTTGTGTACCATAGACAGGATTGCATAATTCCCATTGAAGATTGTATAATTCCAGCCGTGGTAAACTTTTGTCTTTTTTCGTCCCGGTGCTCGTCGGAATTTATGCTAAGAAAAGAATTTTTTCAATGAGTTATTATAAAATAATATATTCATATTAATAATATATTAATGATATATTTATATTGAATAAACCTGGCGACGTTGCTAATTATGTATGTCTTTCTAATTATCATTCTGGAACGATACTTTCTTCCAGAGTTGTCAACACAATGATTCTACATAAACCAGATGTTCCCTGGAACAAGAATAAATTAGATCATTAAAGAATAAATTAGATCATTAAAGAATAAATTAGATCATTATTTTCTGTGACTACACACATTCTCTACCGATAGCGTATTGTAAACAACGTCCGTTTTCTAGTTTCTCAGAACCCAAGTAATTCGGACAATATATTAATCATCCTTTATCGACGAGAAGTGGATAAAGTTAGAAATCTTAGTTTTGCTCAATCTTGCTGAATCCTGTCCAGTTAAATCTGGGTTCAATTCTCCTTGGAACTGTTCTTAATTTCATTTTATTATTTTAAAACATAAATTTTAATGCATTTCATTTTTAATTTTCTTCTAAACCATTCAACCCACTCTCCTAAGAATTTTAACAATTACCATCCAATTAATAGTCTCTCCAAACAACCATCCTGTAATTTCATGCATTCAAACGTTTAAACAGGACCAGTGTTACACTGTTAATCTGTCTTAATAGTTTCAGCCTTCAAGGGGAAATTTTGTACAACTGTATTCCCTTTGAAATTCCCCCTCCTTTTTATTTCTTTGTAAGATTTTTAAGTTTAAATCGCAGTCAATGCCAATTATGTTAAAATGGGAGAAACTGGGCAGTCCCTTTCCCCATCATATCAATCTACTTAATGTGCGTTTGAAAATTTTGTCCCAGATAGACTATAATCTTCTGCTTCATTTTCACAGCCATCTACGCCAAATTGGAATTATTTTGAAAAGTTTGCAAACATCAGTGTGCCTTAACAATATTCCTTTGCCAAAACAATTTGAATTACTGAAACATGTTTAAAAGTGTAGTTAAATCCTGAAAGCACATTCGGAATATTTTGTCTTTGTTGTATATGGCGACAAGGCACTGCCTATATAGAATATAACCCCCTGCTAGTAACCTTAGGCACTAAAAAGGTTATTTTCCTTTTATTTGTGTTGCTGTACGGAAGACACCATTTTGAATAAACCTGTTTTGAACCCTATCTACAGTATCTCTGCTAATAACTGATTATAACAAGTGGCGACAAAAAAAAAGAATGAACTCATATCGCCTCATAGATTCATGTATGTTCCTGGGCTTAAACGCTTAAAAAAATGAAGGCGGAAAACATGTAAAGACAATTGTTATAACCATTTTACGGGTTGCTTACGTATCGAACGGGGCTCAAAATATCATCGTTTTAAAGTATTTTCCTCGCTGAAATAGACAAAAATGACTTGATATAGAAAAATGAATTTGAGGAATGGTCCCAAAACATGGAGTAATTGGAATTCTTCTTTATTGCATAGAGGAGAATTTCAGAAGAAAAGTAATATTCTGAGGGCTATAGTAGTAAAAACCAATGGTCTCATTCAGGATTTGTTAGCTCCACATATGATAAAACCCTACCAGGTCACACTATCAATAAATAGGAACAAAATACCTCGGTGCCATAATCAAAGTGATGGGCGGGAAAGCTTTTGCAACCATAAAAAACCGGCCACCGCCGCAAGAGTTGAAAACCAGGCTACAGACTATTCGAGAGATAACTTAAACGTTCTGGGATACATGGAGGTTGATATCAACATCATTATAAACTACTTGTAATATAATAGCAACCAAAGGTCTCAATTTGCTAGGAAGAAACTGGTTGATGTCATCAAAATAGACTGGACTCAAACATTCGTGTTGAGCTGGTACTAGCAGGCAGTCATAGCCCAGGGAAGACGATAGTTGGTAAGCAGAAGATGAAATGGCTTGGGAGGTGCTGAAGGACATAGGCAATCAACGAATGTCAATAGACAGTCGGCTTGTTGAGCTGATACGAGCTAGGGGTTTTAGCCGAGGGTAAGCGATTGAAACCACGGTGATCCGTGAAATGATGGGCAACAGAGAATGAAACCTGAATCGCCAAGTGGATTGGTAGAAGACGTGGTCGGTGGCAGTCAGTTGGTGGCTGGAGATCAATATTCGTTGGTGATCGCTAGTCGCTGCTGATTGCTGATGGTTGCTGATGATCGCTAGCGGTTGTTGCTAGTCGCTGCTGATCGTTGGTGGTCGAAGATGACTGCTGCTGATTGGTGATGATCGCTGGTCGCTGATGGTCGAGAATGACTGCTGCTGATCAGGGATGTTCGCTGGTCGCTGTTGCGTGCTGGTTCGTCATCTTCTTCTCCTCCCCGTTAGTATTTACCTTTGACTCACCACCGAGTCAGGATTCAACACAAGGCCAGTTTTTTTTTCAACGTTGGAAACCCGAGTGGAGACACTCGGACCACTTGTCTTTTCTGGCCTTAGCTAGTCATAGCTAAGAACAGATCCGAGGATTCTGTCTAGGCAGCGGGAGGAGAGGCACCGGCACGGAACAGATACATCTTCTCCGCCCCAGATATTTTCTCTTACGGTCAGTATTTGACTCACCATAAAATCCCACATGTAACCAGAAACCCTTTCAGATTTCTTTATAACTTGCATCATGGGAAAATTAATCAATTCTTTTTTATTCGTTATTATTATTTCATTTTCCCCACAACAGCATAAATAATGAATAATGACTGCTTTGTGCTTCAGCTCCATTTTCAGTTCAGACAGCGTTATCAAGTCTAGACACCTCACTCACGCAATGGATTTCTTCTTTGGAGGCATAACGCCTCTCAAATTTTATCCCGATCCAGTGAATACTGCAGAATGAATAAAAAAAAATTAAAAAAAAAGATTCAGACTGAAAAGAAATAAAAAGGACAATTAGAATAAGAAAAAGACAGTTCAAATTTCTAGAACACAAAGAGGAAATAAGGCTTGGAGAATTTGACACTCACAGGACTTTGAAGGCAAGTGGGGAAGAGAGAAACAACGAGTTAAACTAAATCTGGTGGTGAAAAGGCGAATTTTATTAAGAGCTGCAAAGAATAAGATGTTATGGATAGACATGATTGCCAACATTTTGAAGGGTGATGGTTGGTCCCTTTAACTAGTATTAAAAAGAAACCAAGATGACGTAATAAACATTAGTTGAATACTATTACCACTCTCTGACCTCTCCAGTAGGTGGCTGGCTTTACGGTTCCATTTTTCTCCAAAAAATAAAGTGTAAATTGTCATCCATTTGATTTCAGATTTTCTTGTGCATTTACTTTTATCTTTATTATAATTAATAATTAGAATTACATCACAAAATTTATTCTTTTGTTCAACATGTTTTGATCATTGATATGCAATATTTGTGATATTTTTGCTTTTTTGTTAAAAAAATCATGAATTAAATGCTGCATTTGTCTTTATTTATTTGTAAATAAAAAATCAATGGACTTTTAATTTTTCTATGAAAAATCGAAAATAGGGCACAAATATTGCATGTCTTGCATATTTTTAAATAAAAATGTTAGAATATATCAAAATGTTTGTGATTTTTTCCATTTACCGATAAAAGTGGCTAAATATGGAGAAAATGTTGCATTCTTGTATATTTGTAAACAAAAATGTCAATACGGTGAAAATATTGCTTGTTTTCATATTTCTAGAAAAAAGAAAGGTAAAATAGGAAGTAAATATTGCATTTTTCACATTCCTACATAAAAAGAGCAAATATGAAGCAAATGCTGCATCTATCTCACCCGGCCGGAAGTTACTGCCGGATACTCAAACGTCTGAAAGCGTCACCGCGGAAAACAGAACGAATTCCGTTAACTTCCGGTGACTCAGCGTTTTTCAGAGAACGATACACAAAAAGCAAAACAAATGAAACATAAACATACACAAGTCCTCCTAACTAAAAACTTGCGGGGGCGACATTCCTTATCGGCCCCGTAACAAGTGGTGACTTCCCGACGTGAGACAGCTAAACGATGATGGAGTCGGTCAAAAGTGATTCTTCAGACATGACGGCCGCGATCATACCGCTACCTGCATACCACCATAATGCAAAGAACTGGTTCTTGCAGGTAGAATCGATCTTTTCCATGTTACGCATAAGTTCACTGCGAGCCAGATTCGCAAACGTAATGCAGAAACTCCCATCCGATATGATGGACGAGATTTCTGATGTCCTCTCCGATTTGCGCGAACATGAACCGTATGATCACTTAAAGGAAGCGACCCTCAAGCGTTTTGAGGAGGACATGATTCAAGAGATTCTACGGAACGTCACCAGAGGTGACAAGACGCCTACCCAACTACTCAGGTATATCGAGAAATCCAGATCTCCCTGCGCCCACGGACAAGGAAACCAACCCCATCTCGACAACAACGGAGTCGAACCCCCAGCCGAGAACGGCGAAGCGACCAGGGCATGCGTTGGTTTCATTGCACATTTGGCGATAGAGCCAGGAACTGTAGAACTCCCTGTACACACCCGTCAGCCCGGGGAAACGAGTAAACCGGAGAGTGGCGACGACTAACTCATCCAGTGCCAACACGCAATGTCGTCTATTCTACTTTTGGGATCGCCGGAACAAACTGAAATTCCTAGTAGACACAGGTGCGGCCATCAGTGTGGTACCCTATCAGAATGACCACGCTGCTAAGCCCACCCTGCTCAAACTACGAGCTGCGAATGGTTCCGCGATAGACACTTACGGAGAAAGAACCCTCTCTCTGAACATCGGCATGCGACGTGATTTCACTTGGACATTCACCGTGGCCAACGTGAAGATACCCATCCTCGACGTGGATTTCCTGGCGCATTACGCACTGGCGGTCCATATGAACCCCAGGACCCTATCAGACACAACTACGAATCTTCGTGTCTTAGGTACGCCTACACGTCAAAGCTCTACAGGAATCAGCGTCGCAACATGCCATGGTCGCGAGTACTTAGATCTCCTGAAACAGTTCACAGACATAACACTGCCACTCCAAGCTACTGTCTCAGGTGACCACCAAACTCAGCCCCACATCAGAACTAGAGGTCCCCTTGCACACACACACCCGCGACGACTTGCTCCACACAAACTGACGTACGCCAAGGAACAATTCGACAAAATGCTGAGTGACGGCATCACTCGTCCTTCCGATAGCCCTTACGCCTCGCCACTGCACTTAGTGCCTAAACCTGGTGGCAAAGAATTTCGGATATGAGTCGACTACCGAAAATTAAATGTATCGACCGTACCAGACCGCTACCTTGTCCCTCATATCTACGATTTTGCGTCCGGACTGGAGGGTGCTCGCATCTTTTCGAAAATCGACCTGACAAAGGCATACCATCAGATCCCAGTCGCTGCGGAAGACGTCCCTAAGACGGCAGTCACAACACCGTTTGGACTATATGAGTTTCTAAAAATGCCATTCGGCCGACGTAACGCTGCCCAGACCTTCCAACGGCTCATAGATGAAGTCCTGCGCGGACTGCCACACGTATACGCTTATATCGTCGACATCTTGGTGGCCAGTAAAGATGCCGACTCTCACAGGCAACACCTGCAAGAAGTTTTCCAGCGGCTCTCACACTATGGTCTGAAGCTGAACCTGGACAAGTGCGTTTTCGGGGCGCCCAGTGTCGATTTTCTCGGGCACCACACCGACGCTAACGGCATAGCACCTCTGCCAGACAAGATCAACTCGATCTGGGATTTTCCTACACAGACATCCATCAAACAATTGCGACGTTTCCTCGGTATGATAAATTTCTATCGTCGATTCATCCCAAATTGTGCCACGATTCTCCAGCCACTGACGAACCTACTGCAGAGAAGGAATAAGGACATCGCGTTGGGGGGAGATGCTCTGCAAGCATTCCATACGGCGAAGGACGCATTAGCCAATTTCACTATGCTTTCGCATATTAACGACGATCCGAAGATGCGACTGTCCCTGACAACCGACGCGTCGGACGCAGGAGTGGGCGCTGTGGTTGAGCAGGAATACAATTCACAACGCGAACCTATCGCATTCTTTTCGGCCACGCTTTCACCAGCCCAGAGAAAATACAGCACCTTCTCACGAGAACTCTTGGCTACCTGTCCATCCGTTATTTCCGACATCTCCTGGAGGGCAGACATTTTGCAATCTTCACGGATCACAAACCGCTGACCAACGCAATGAATGTCAGCGCAGACAAGTACACATCCCGTGAAACACGTCACCTCGATTACATCTCACAGTTTACGACGGACATCAGACACGTCAAAGGAAAGAACAACACCGTCGCAGACACATTGTCTAGAACAGACGTCAGTACCCTGATAACGATATCCTGAGCCAGGAGCTGATAGCCAACAAACAAAAAGACGATACAACGATACCTGACCTTATCAAGGAGACTTCTTTGAAACTGCAGGAATTCCCGTGTCCGTTCAGCAATAAAACTCTTTTCTGCGACACCGCGCTGGATACTCTAAGACATTCCTCCATCTCTAAGAAAAAAAGTATTTCTCCATCTCCACAATCTATCCCATCCGAGCAAGTGAACGAGCGTCAAGCTTATCGCCGATCGATTCGTGTGGACTAACATGAATTCAGACATCAGAAATTGGGTCTCAACCTGCATACAATGTCAAAAATGCAAAATTCAGAGGCACACAAAATCACCAGTTGGAACATTCGCCACACCCGACGCACGTTTCAGTCACATCCACATTGACCTCGTCGGACCACTACCAATTTGCCAGGGGTACCAATACCTTCTAACAATCATAGACCGTTTTTCGAGATGGCCAGTCGCTATGCCGATTTCTGCTACCACAGTTTCTAAAGCCATTCTCACCATCTGGATGACGAACTTTGGCGTACCCCAAGTTCTCACTACAGATCAGGGACCACAATTTCAGTCCTCGCTTTTCGAGAATTCTCTCAACTTTTGGGTGTCAGGCACATTAAAACAACGGCTTACCACCCTTGCGCAAACGGCCTCGCGGAAAGATTTCACCGATCCTTGTCAACCAAACTCGACATACACAACTGGGTCGACAACCTCCCCATGACCATGCTCTCTTTGCGGAATACCCTCAAAACTGATTTAGAGTGTTCGACAGGGAAGCTCGTGTTCGGAGCGCCTCTCTCCTTACCAGGACAATATTTCCACCTTCCGCAGTACTCTTGCACAACCTCACCAAGTTCTTTCGTGCAAGATCTGCGCCACAAAATAGCCAAACTTACATACACTCCCCCACGACAACAAACCACAAGTTCTTACTTACCACAGAAACTGGATACCTGCAATTTTGTCTTTATTAGGAACGACGCCGTAAAAAAACCTCTCACACCTAGCTACCAAGGTCCTTTCAAAGTTCTGAAGCGTTTCGAGAAATTTGTCACGATCATGCGCGGCAAAGACAAAGATACAGTCTCCATCGACCGACTTAAACCAGCTTGGTTAGAGGAAACTTCTCCTGACCCAAACTTACCAACAACGACGGAAGATGAAACAACCAAACCAGTCATTCGAACAAGATCTGGCAGAAGGGTTCATTTTCCGGCCAAATTAAAGACATACATATTTTTTTCGAATTGATCATGATCAATGCTCTAGGAAGGGGGCCTTATCGCACCCGACCGGAAGTTACTGCCGGCTACTCAAACGTCTGAAAGCGTCACCGCGGAAAACAACGAATGCCGTTAACTTCCGGTGACTCAGCGCTTTTAAGAGAACGATACACAAAAGGCAAAACAAATGAAACATAAACATACACAAGTCCTCCTAGCTAAAAACTTGCGGGAGCGACATTCCTTATCGGCCCCGCAACACATCTTTTTATATTTATGAATAAAAAAGCAATTAACTTTAGATTAAGAAATAAAACTGACGTGGAAAAGGATAAGCAAAGGACATAAAATATGTATTTAACAAGATGTACATATCAAACAACGATGTGAAAGAAGGCATGCATTCAAGTAAGAAAAAGTTAAATAAAACAAGAGTTGTCACTCTTTAACTATTATTTTTGTATTTCAAAATTCAAAGTTTATGAGAGTTGCTTGTAATAGTTGTTCTCAGAAGATTTGCTGTATAAGGAAAGATTATGTGAGTGTATAAGGAATGTTCAGCATGTGAGTGGTGGTGTGAGTGAGAAGGTTGGCGCATGGTTTTAACTGTCGTGGATTCGTTTGGCAGCTGAATTCTCTCTAAAGAGGGTTAGAAATTTCAAAGAGAAAAGTTCTTGTTGCATGTTTGGAAATGTTCTGTATGCTTGTAATGTGGGTTGGAAAAGTTTGCGAGGAAAAGTTCGTGCATGCGTGAATATGCTTTTAACGTCTGACTGTCCATGGTCGAGACGAGAATGCTGAAGATCATATCTTCTTAAGCGAATGAAGAAAGGAGAGAGAGAAAGCAAGCTTGTGTCTGCTATTTATAGATAATGTAATCACGTGATAGGATCAAGATCGCTACGCGGGAAGAATTATTCTTCACGATCTGATTGGTTAGCATTGACCAATTAGAAGCTGATATTTCCTGAAAATATTTGAAGCTGAGAAGGCTCTCTGATCCACTTTTTTACACAAAAATATACAAAATTCGACATTTATAAGAAAGTGGTAGCGGGATGCTACACTAGATAAAATGATGCAGTTTTATTAATCCTTAAAAATAAAAACAGGATAATATCTCGAAAATATTGCATGTTTTTCATTTTTAATATAAATTCTCAGAATATCACAAAACGTTTGTGATTTCTACATTTACCAATAAAAGAGGACAAATAAGGAGAACATGTTGCATATTTTTGTAGTGGACCGTTGGGTGATGAGTATGTATTGTAGAAGAACACATGTGGGTAGAATTTCCTGCTAGCCAGTCCAGCTACACGAGAAAGTTGGACTTTAATTAAGTCCAAAGAAAAACAAAAAAGACCGATAAAAATATGTAAACAAATATATGTATTAATAACGAGTAACAGGTTACAAGCACATGGACAGTTACATGTACAGAGTGCCTGTGGTGAATATTATGTGTGTGTGTTGTGGTGAGTGTTCGTACGTACGTGTATTGTTCTTAGCGTGTTCCCAGAATTTGGGAAACGGTATATCTGTGAGATCTAACATCTGCGAGATGATATAAGGCCCAAGACCTGAGAAAAAAAGAGATCGAGGTGAAGGGTCAGCCAGTATTTATAGCCAAGGGAGAGAGACCCCTGGTGAAGGGTTAAGGAGCTGAGGAGGAGACATTTTCATATTTGTACATAAAGTTACAATATGCTGTAAATGTAATTCTGTGGTGATCACTTACATGTGCCACACCTCCGCTTTCTTTAATGTCATTGGTTCATAAATATATGATACTTATTATATGACAATTTTGCCATCGCACGTAATTTGAAATTTTCTCTAAAATCACGCATAGGCATACCTAGACCGTCTTCAGATGGATGAAGGCAACTTTATCTCCCGAGATACCCTAGCGGCCTTGCCTCCCGACAAGAAGGAGAACAAGAGCCTTACTAATGATATTAGTGTAGCATAG